GTCAAAGATCACCAGAAGTAATCAAATGAAGCAATTTCTAGCAAAATGTACCAAGATAATTGAGCTTGCTATGAAATACAAAAATGTTTTATAATCTCTCAAATAGTAAGGTGAATAAGGTTAAATTTGACTTCTGAGGCCATTGGGGGTAGACTTTGTAACCTTTATTTTCTCTACTAGCTTAAAAGCCACCCTATCGGGTAGCATGTAAGCTAGCTCCTGTGGAGGGTTCTTGATTGGGTCTTTGGCTTGTTCAGGAGTTTGAGAGTCCCCAAGTCTTTGCATATTCTCAGTATTGATCTGGGCTTTCATTTGCATGGGACTTTCTTTTCACTGCATCCTTGGCTCTTTTGATTAAAATCTGGTCCTCTGTTTACAGATTTCGTTTTGCTAAGCATACAACTGCCGTATGTGATAGCAACAATAAACTAGAGAAGAATTCAAAACTGATCACAGCATTTAAGTATTGCATTAATATTTAAGATTACCTTTTAAAAGTTCAACAATAATTCTTCTGCCGCCACTTAATTTAAAAACAATTTGATGTGTGTAGGTCCTTACTTTCTGTACAAACTTTCGCTGGATTTTATATTATTTTGATTATTCCAAAATTTATTTCCAAGTTATAAAAATTGTTATCACAAAAAAAAAAAAAATCATGTTAACCCCCCAAAAAAAAAAATCACAGTAATGAAAACTTTAGAATCCAAAATTTCTGTAACATGAACTATTTAGAGTTGTGTCCCTTTAAGTGAAAAAAGTGTGACACAGTGACACACTGACATTAACATTTATTTTTTATGTATATATTTTAGCCAATTACATATTTAAAGACAAATTGGTATACACAGGTAACATGGATAGAAAAAGGTCAATTTTATATTAAGATAGCTTTATTTAGCTAAACAACTTTATTGTCTTTTGCTTGTAAACATTATGCAAAATTAAAAAAACATTTTCAAACAAAAGTAATTAAAAACTAAAGAAATTATCAGTGGTTCTGTGAGCGAGGCATTTGTGATACAAAGGATAATGTAATCAAAGAAAAATTCAAAGCTATCTAAACAGATTCATGGGACAATTCAGTTGAACAAGTTTGTTAACAAAGTTATAGACACTTCAAAAGCTATTCAAAGAAACAATAGAGTTCCTCAATTCTTTGGTGCTGCCTGTGTTCTTCCCCACAACTAAAAGTTGCAATGCCTCTCATGCTTCTCAGAAATTTCAACTCACAAATAATGTTGTGTAATGGCTACCCTAAGTAGCTTGTACCACATGTCAATAAGACAACTAATCTAATTGGAACAAGGCAAAAAGGATGATGGTTCATTCCTAGGATCTCCATAATTCCACAGATTTACCATTTAGATTTAAAGAACTTCAATTTCCAATGATGCTCTACTTTGTCATAAACATCAACAAGTTGTAAGGACAAGATCAAAGGATTTCTTTATACTCCCCCCCATGACCAGCTATATGTTGGTTGTTCTAGGGTTTAATCTTCAAACAACCTTTTCATACTGGCACCTACTGAGAAGCATTCATTTTGTGTACATAGAAACCTTGCCAAACTCAGAGACTACATCATTTGTTTGGTTTTAGACAAGTGTAGTATAGTGTATACATTGTAAATTTCATATCAAATTTCAATTAACAACTACAAACTGTTACTGCACAATGAATAATTAGCCCCACTGATGCATTGGAAGAGAAAAGATATTTATTTAAGCAAAGTCACCAATTTTGCTACATAACAACACTTGTATTCATATTAAAAATGCAAGATAGTAATCATGAATTTGGGATGGGAAATTCTTCTACATGTGGTATTTTTATATTGTTGGAAACAACCATTATTCATCACTTGTAACTTCTTTTCAAAAGCGAGTTGTTTTTGTTGTTTGGGCAGAGAATCACAGATAGAAAATGTAGTCCATTAAATTTTTCCATTAAATTGTGAGGCACCCTACAATGCCAGTTATGTGGCATATCTCTGTGATACTCCAAGTCTGCCAAAATGTTCTCAGTCTTCCAGATCAAAATTTCTACTTCCGAACCTAATGAACTACTTGAAAAAGAATACTTTTAATAATGGCACCATCCCCATAAATGGCACTTATCTTTTTTGCTGTTTGTACAGTGTGTTTTCCTTTCCATCAAATGATGAAAATTTATCTGTTTCCTCTGTCCTCACTTTTAATGTAAAAACATTGAAAATTCACAAGCCACACACAAATTGTATCGAAAGATGCATTGAAATAAATGTCACCTTTCAGAATATGTATATCAGTTATATATCTCAGTCACATGTGAAATTAAATCACTGGTTCACCTATTTAAAAACACTATAAACTTTTGTTCCTACCCAATATTAAGTCTAGCATCATGTAAATAATCAAATCATAGTCCAAATACTTTCTGAGAAATGCAAGTTCCTGACATGAGATGCACTTAAAGAGAAAAGAAAAGTGCTTCAAAAGTAACCAGGTCTCTTATACCCTGATAGTTGCTATCAATACTAGACCCACACCTAAACACCTGTTTAACACATTATTCCTCTGATGACCCAGAATGAAAAATAGGCAATGTTTAAACTTCATACCTGCAAAAAAGAAGAAAGTGTCAAAAAGACAACTGCTATTACTGTATCCTTTGACACCATCAGCAATATTTATTGTTTTAAAAAGCTGTTTAGAATTTTAAGAACAAAAATATTACACACTATTTAGTTGTTAGATTGTTTATTTACAAGATTATAAAAATATGTGACCCACCTACAATGCAATATTTATTATTTACCATTTTATAAATAACTATGAAAGAATTGAGCTTCTGTTTTAATTATCTATTTATAATATATATTATTTCTGAGATATCTACATGCTATGACATTAAACATACATGAGAAATCTATTGAAGCAACAAAGATGCCAGAAAGTTATGGCCATGGCATGGTTTAGGGTTACAAAGAATTATCATGTTTGTTCAGTCAACCTGTCAATAGTAAATTCTGCTTGAGAGTTTTTACAGGCATAAAAAACAGTAAAAATATTGATTATTGATTGTGTTCAGAAAGTGTAAATAATTTTATTACAAAAACATCTACATACATAAATAAAAAATATTTAGGCAGATACCATTAAAAATATTTTGTTGAAAATTACAAACAAATCAATTTATTTTTTTTCTTTTACTTTTTCTGTACAAAAGAATGCAGGTCAGTCATATCTATTTAAATACTTTAGATAAATTTTAAATAAATTTGGTTACACAATTAGTTATTATCAAGATTTGAAACATGAAAAGTGAAGGATAAATAATATGGATGTTAGTCATTTTTATAATTTTTATTTTAGTTTGTTATAACACACTCAAGACAATATCTAAGCAAAATGCTTCACTGGGCAAAATATTGAAGTCAGTTAAATACATTCAAAATCCCAATGCCTAGAATTTTGAATTAAAAAAAGACAATAACTAACATTTGTAGTTTTTGTCACTTTAATTTGAAGATAACACAATGGGTCAACATTTACATCATAATGAGGCCATACTGTACCAGGTAGTGCTAAATAGTTTTTGGCTCAACCCACTTCCAAAAATCTGACCAAACATCACTTTTTTTTTTTTTTTTTTTTTTTAAAAGGGATTTTTTTTGGTCTATTCAAGAAGTACTTCTTCATAAATGTTTGGTGAAATTTAACACTGTGAAGCTGATTTTCTTGAACTTCAACACTGCCTTTGTTTTTACAATTACATTTTATGGACATCAGTCCTCAAGCTATAACACAGTTGTGCTGCACTTTTCTATTATGACTGGATAATGTTTATCCATTCAAATTATGCAACTGCATTACTGACTTTAACAAATACTATTTTAGTCATCATTTCATATAGTTTGTCAATGAAAATCTGTTGTAAATTAATATATAATAAGTTATTAATTTGTTATAAATATATAAAAGTCCTTTTCAGAGTATTTGGCCCAAGAAATAAAATGTTTACATATTTTAAGAGGCATATAAAAAAAAAAAGGTAAAAGAAATGATTACTACCTGCTGACTCTGATGGAGCACGAAATATCAAATGAGAATATGGCAAAGGTTGAACCAAAGCTCCAATAGTTTCTCCTTTTGGTCCCTAAAAAAAAAAAAAAAAAAAAATCACTTTCAAACAAAAATTTTAAAATACATATCCACATTTTAAATTATGGCTTTAAATAAGAGGATAAGAATTTTAATAACAAAAATAATAAAAATACACTGGTATATTGAAATGCTATTTTCTTACCAATCTGTTAATATCTTTGCATATATATGAACTAAAAATGACCTTTCTATTTTAAATTTGTTACACCACAATTTTGTATTCACACAAATAACAGTTCACAAAATATTTATGTGTACTATTCTTTTGACATTTATATTCTGTGACTATGTTTAACATTTGTTTAAAAACAGGTTTAGTTTTTTTTTCAGCTTTTATTATAATACTAAAAAAAAGAAAAAAAGAAAATGTAAAAATAAAATAACATTAATACTATTGTTTTCTTTTCATGCTAAATTCACAAATCTTATATGCACATTTGTTAAATTACAACTGTGACAATGTGATTTGATAGAAGAAACAGAAAGCAAGTTTTAATTATGAGTGTTGGTTAATAACTAAGGTTTAACATGGCATTGCTTATAATGGAGATAGAAACTATATAATTATAGATAAGTACATAAATTAGACATGAGTACTAAGTTCAATCAGCAATAGATTGTTTTTTGCAGGTGATTTAAAGCCAGAAAATATTTTTAGACTGTAAGGTTTTTTTTTTTGAGATAATAATGATTTACTAATACACGTCCTATTAATTAACCCATAGCTGGGGGAGAAGAGGTGGAGTCATACCTTTTCAAAGGGTATTTGTGCTTAAGTAAATATAACAAACCTGACTGCAACTTGGCTCTCTGATTTCCAATTCTATCCATTACACTACCTTAAATTCCAAGCTTACAGCACTTGGTATTTCTAAGCAGTCACCTATCCAAGTACTGACCAGGCACAACATTGCTTAACTCCAGTGATCATATGAGAACAAGTGTTTCAACATGATATAGCCATAAGCTTTTGGCACTGTTGTGTTTTAATTGAAATTTACATACATAGGAAACCAACAAAATTTTGCAAGCACTCAAGCAAGGTATCCACAGAATAAGGCCTGAGAGGAGAAATATTTGCATTATAACAATGCAAAGCTGCTCTGCAGTCAACAAATAGTGCAGAGAGTTTGAAATTCTCAGTTGTCAAACACTGTTCACACAGCTCTGATTTGTCACCACCAGACTTCTGGTTGTTGCTGTTAAGATTGAAAGAAGTGTAAAAAGATCAACATTTTTCATTCAGTGCCAAAGTTAAAGTTGCTCTGCATAAAAACTTGTAATTTTGAAGAGAAATAAATTTACTTCACTTTCATAACAGTTTCATTATTGTATCAGTTTTAAAACTTGTTTTTAAACACTGTATTAATGTTATCACCATCATTATTATTCATTTTTGCAACATTGTTTTTATCAGAAATTAATATTAATTCTTAATTTACAGATTACAATACCATTGTTATTTAAAATCTAAAACGTTCACTTTGTTTATTTGAAAGAATTTGTTTTAAAATAACAAAATATTATTGTAGATTGTCTACCTTGACTTTTCCTTTTCTTTATATGCATAAGCACAGATAACACTATTTCATGATTTTCAGCTTCTAATAAAAAGTCAAAATAAAAAAATGTACATAAAAATATCATTTAAAGTTATCACTCTGATAGTTCACCTAGACTTTGAGGACTATTGTACTATAGCAATCCTAGTTGCAATGCTAATCTAAGTTTAGAAATATATATTCTGACACCAGAAGTTATAAATAACCATATATAATGATAATATGTAGAAAATCATAATTACAACTCTAGCTCACCAAAGATCAGTTAGAGTGGAATTATGATTTTTTTTTAGATTTTAATATTTAGTTAGTAAAAGAAGCAAAATTTTATCTTTTATGATAACCAAAAATATCACCTGTGTTTGGTGTTTACAACTATTTATACTAATAAAAGAAAACACTACTTTGATGACAACATTAATCCTAAATTGAATTATGCTATTCAATCAAAATAAATGATTACAAAATGATGGATTTTTTTTAATTCACTCCAAGCAAGGTGATAATGCCACTAATTTAAAGCAAAAGAGAAGGAGAAGACTTTAAAAAGGAACTGGAAAGTCATTCCTAAAGAGGAAACAATAGCTATACCTCTAATCCTATTCAAAAGACCAGGGAGGAGTATGAACCAGACGATAGTTATTTACTATAAATGGTGAACAAGCTGTCAAAAATTCAACAAAATTAACAATTGATTTAAATGAGAATCAAGACAATGTTATAAAGAAATCAGAAATTCTTAATAATATAATCATATTGCCTTTGTGGCCCATATTGATTGATCCAATGGGTGGAAAAGTTTGAAACAGAAGCCATCCTTTTTGGAAGGTCTTTCAATCAGACGACAAGTGTTTAGAAGAATAGTTCCTATCCAGTGGCTGCTCTGTAAAGAAAAAAAAATTAGTTTAGAATTATGTTTAATTTTCAATTCATGAAAAAAAGTAAAATTACATAAAAAAAAAAAAATTAAAAAAAAAAAATCACAGAACATTTTGGGACTTTTTCAAAAGTTAAAAATTAAAATAAAAATAGAATAGTAAAACCCAGAATGTATACATTCCTATTTTTTTTATTATTTCTCCAATAACTGATGAAGAACTCAGTCTAGATATTTTCTCCTTCCAGATTCATTTGTTTTGAATTTTTTGTTACATTTTTCAGCGGTTTCATTTTTTATTTTTTTTATTTGACCTTTGTATTAAATGTTAACAGAATTCCTTTTCCTACCCAAAATGGTAAACAAACTCAAACATATTATTCTAAATATATGAAAATTAAATAACATTAATTCTAAAGGATTTTATTAGATTCTATCCAGTTTGAAATATAGAAAGCATATGAAGCTTAATATTAAGAAATCTTAATCTTTAAAAAAATAAACATAAAAATATAACTGTAAATGTTTGATATATCCCCCATAACTGAATATACAGTATAACAAATGACAACTATTATTGGGATGGGGTTGAAATCAAGTGGAGATTATGTGATTAAATTATTTTAAAGATGAGTTTATAGGGACAAAACAGAATATTTAACGAGTAAACCAAAAGTTTATGCCTGTTTTCCAGTCAAATATGTTAAATTAGAGATCATTAATCAAACACAAGACAAGTCTTATTCATAGAGGTATTATACAATTTGGAACTGACAATTGCTACACTTCCTAATTCACACAGTAACTATGCTCTATGGTATGTACTAAGCTTCACTTAGTATAGCACAAATTTGAAGGAAATAGAGGTAAGAAGATTGTGTTATAGTTTTCCCATCAGAAAGAGGCTATCTTGAAGAACAGCATTCAAAGATCTGGATCTGGGCTCCAATCATGAGTGCCAATAAAAAAAAAAAAAAAAAACTATCTAACTCATTAAGTAGCTGGCTATGTTTTCTACTACATAAAAAGCTGGTGGGTAAGATTATATATCAGAGGCAATATACAGTTTTCCATAAGAAAAACTAGAGCCTCTATGACAGTCACTAAAAATATATTAGTAGCAATGTCAGTATTTGTTCAAAAGTTAGAAATTCAATGTTCAGCGTGTAAGTTAGAAAATTGATAAAATGTTATGTTACTGTGATGGTTAACTTGGAGGTAACAGCTTGATGTTTTGCATCCTTTGTGTAAACACACCCTCACATTTGGTAGTCAAAGGAATTTTAAGAAAAATATAATGGAGGAAGCTACAGTTAATACTAAAGTGGCACATATTCCATAAATTATTCAGACTAATATCCTAATATTTGTTGTTTTAATTGATACATTTTGGCTTTTCAGCCTTCCTCAGGCACATGTTGCATTTGGTAATATTTAAAGAGAGTTTTGAGCAGAATATCTTGTTCATTGTTTTTTTTAGCTGTTGAGGAGGAAGAGTGATTAACTTTGGCCCCCATTTTTTCAATTTGAAACAAATCTAAGCAACAAGGATTCATGCAGACTGCAGTCAAAACAAAAGCTGAATTATTCATAGGGTAATGACAGGGTTTTATTATTAACTTCTAACAACAGGAGTTTAGGAAAATGGTCACAAATCCAAAATGTAGCAAAACAAATGGTTGCAAATATGCACTGTGTTCTTCCAACTGTAAGCACCCACTTAACCACTTTGCAACACTGAAAAAAATTCAGATTTGTATACCTGTAGCCACAGATTGAGTATGGTTCACTGATAACCAAACACCTTGTGCAAATTAGCACACTGAATGCCATGCAAATTTAATAATACCTAAAAATATTTTCTGGCTTTAAATAACCCACAAAAGTTTGATAAGCCATAAAAAAATCTTTTTAAAAATTGCCTTCTCTAAAAAGTCAATTATTCAAGAGAACACACCTACACATCCTGGTTGGTGTCTTTATGTATTGGTCTGGTTAACTTCTACAATGAGGAAGCCCGGAGAATACATCAGCTAAAAACAGTGTTAAAAACAAAACCCAAAAACAATTTGGATACTACTAGACTGAATAATTTATGAAATAATAACATATGTTTGTCATAAAAGATACAAAAGTTTTTCCAACTGAAGGAAGAAATTTAGAAAAATATAAGATACCCATTCAATAACATGGATGTTAATAATCGTTTAATTCCTAATCACTAAGGAATTATTAGGAATAGAATATTTTTAAGTCAAAAAAGAAAAAAAATAGAAGTTAGTTGCTACTGTTGGGCAATCTTTTAATCCGGCCAAAAAAAAAAAAAAAGTTATGTATTATTATTATATTTTTGTTTTTTGCTTACCTCCAACAGATAAGTAACTAGACAGAAATGCTTGGTAGGACAGTTGCTAATATTTCTGATCAGCTTCAATTAAACAAAGAACAAGAAAGTCTATCTCTGTGACATTGCCCTCATTTAACAGCTGAGGCTTCTCAAATGAGTTTTACAGTGACAAAAAAATCTGTGTGGAATTTGAGAATATTGATAAATACTCTTCACAAAAGGGTCTAATTACTTTGTTTTTCTTTTGGTATTATTTGTAGGATAAGAATTTGGAGACATTATTTTTCAAGTAGACAGAGGTTTCATTTATTTCTTGATGAAATATTATATACATTAGGCCAATTTTTATTATGCAAGTCAATGTTTTCACAATAAAATTGATATTAACCAACACATGTAGCTAAAATTTTCAACATATACTAATATTGATATGATAAATATAGCATATTAAATCCAGTCTATATGCTTTTATCAGAAATATTTATTATAATTTATTTGGTAGTGTGAGATTTTATTATCCAACTAGAGTTGTTCATTGAATTTTTATAAGCGAGTTATTGATATTTATCTCTTTTTTTTTAATTTTCAAATACATAAACATTACAATAGGTCATAAGATCACTTTGAACATACACTCTTTAGCTCTAGAGGGTGTCGTCAGTGATGTTCTGAATTGAGTCATTGGGCAGTTTTGGGTCATTCAAACACCATACTCCCCTCACCAAGTTGACCCCATCAGAGCTGATCAGTCTCTGATGCCCCCCCCCATCTAAATTGACAGACTTCAAAAGAAAAAAAAGATATTGTAAAATTATTGAATGTTGGAAATTAGGTAAAAGTCAAAGAAATTGAAAACATTGGCAAGATAAAAGCAAGAAAAATTAACTGGCTTTAAGAATGCGATTCCCCTTAGAAGAAATATTTGAGAAAATTTCAGTGTAATAAGCAAGAAAAGTAGATTGACCACCAAGAAAATATTTGAAGAATATGATGTTGTGAATGTAGATAAAGAAAAAAAAAAAAGCAGAGTATTAAAAACATTGGCTAAACTCATGAAAGCAACCAAGCAACCACTTTTAAGTAAATATCATAAAGAGAAACATGTAAGTTGGGTAAAGAAATACATGAAAATTGATTTCTCAACAGTAATATTTAGTGATAAATGTTGAGCTCTATTG